CCGTCTGAGCAGATTTATAGCGGGGCAAGTCGACGGGCTGTGTCGAGAGATGATAGAGAGGGTTGATGATTTGGGACGACAGTTGGTAGGAAGGGTTGAAGATTTGTAGAATGAGATTGCAGCACTTCGAGGTGATATAGCCGGTAGGTAATGGGTTGACAGAGATGGTGATCGAGAGGGTGATAGGGGTGGGGGTCTCCGGCAGTCATACATACATGATGATGATGCATGAGAATCATTTATTTTATCCATGGAGCACGATGGGACGGGAGCAATGGCAGAGGAGGGGGCCCGTCGGGAAGGAAGAAGGTGACAGATGAGGGAATGGCCCCGTCGGGGAGAGAGACGGTGGCAGATGAGGGAGTGACCCCGTCGGGGACGAAGACGATGGCAGATGAGGGGATGGAGGAGGTGGTGAGTCCTGGGGTGGAGGAGGTGGCAGTGTATAAGTTAAAAAAACGTGTTGCTGTTATGCTGGAGATGGTGGCCGGCAAGAGGCCGAGAATGCCGTCACAATACGTCGTCTCTTCCTTCACAGCTAAGGCAAAGAGGAGGAGGTTCGTCGATGGGACGTACCCCAATCTGTTCCGGGAGGTCGACCATGCCAAGTGGAAAGCATTCGAGACTGAGTGGCGAAGAATGTTGCCCGGGTAAATATTGTACAATTTAGCAGACTACCAGAACTCGTATATGCTTCGTTTAATGTTTTTTCTATTTTATTTCCAGAGCCACACACATAATAACCGGAAGGATGATATGGGATGCATACAAATGGTTCCATGATATCACCACTCAGAGGGCTTGACTCGCCGACGATGTAAGTGAAGTGTTATTGTTACTTTTTGTATGCATTATACTTAATTTGGTAAATGAAATAAGTATTTATATCTTTGTTTTCCTTGATGTAGCACATCGACATGGCCATGGACTTGGTGCATGATCGAGTTGAGAGATATCCACAATCATTCCACAAGCCTGACCGCATAATACTGAGCACCGAGTTCTTCCTTGCCGTTACTATTGAGTATCAGTCGCTCCAACTTCTAGGTGACGAGTACGTGCTTCCCGCGTATATGCTCGAGTGGGTCATCGGACTGTCATTGAGTGTTGGGGAAAAGCCATGGGAGGGTTGTACGTATTTGTACATTCTAGTGATTGTGAATCAACACGGCATTGCACTGGAGATTGTGTTCCCTGATTCGACGATATATGTGTACGATCCCGATCATTCATGCCTAACACACAGGGACAGCTCAAGCAGAACTTAGAGCAAGTGACTGTGATCGTTCCTATGATAGCTAGATATGCGGGCTTCACTGTGGATGACAAACTAACCATCATGCGGGACACGACGACGGCGAGACAGTCTATATCGTAAGTTTTTGTACTCTTTTTTATTTATTTAGTAATCAGTTCGTACGTAATTGATATCAAATTAACACACATTTGTTCATTTGAAGGGGCAATTGTGGGATTTTCGCAATCAAATACATAAAAAATTTTAGAACAGCACAAAAGGTTGATGGAATCAACCAGTCATGGATACAAAATTGGTGAAATAAGTTAGCGTTTGATTTATACGAATTTAATTGTGATTCATAAAATATTTGTAAATTTTTTTTTGTAATTAATATTTGTAATTATTTTTTGTGATTATTTGTAACCATTTTTCGCAATTATTTGTAATTATTCGTGTAAATATTGTTTATTTCAATGTAAATACTATTCATTTCAATGTAAATACAAAATGCTCTAACTGTCATTTAGGGGAACCTGACTTGTACAAAATTGGTGAGTATGTTCTACTGATTTGCACCTGCTACACCTACGCCGTCGAGAAAACTCTCCAGTAGATGGTATTCTAGAAGTACTTGGACGTCCAGAACCATGTGGTTCAATGAAAGGTGACGACAATGTATTGAACGGGCGAATATGATCGGGAACTTCTCACTCGATTTTGTTTGGAAGCAGAAATATGGTTTCAACATACGCAGCTCTCCAGTTTTCAGCAGTGTAATAAGGAGAGCACAATATTCTCGCTCCAAATCATCGATACATAGCCATCGCAACTGCATGCTCACATGGAAAACTCTCTAACTGAAATTGTTTACAAGTACATGTTCCATCAGTTAAATCTACCATGTATGTCGTATGACGTGTATATTCCACAGAGAAGCTCGACTCGTCTAGTGGTTCGATATTTAACTTTCTCGCAGCCTCTGCAGCTTTGAAGAGCTTTACCTTTTGTGCTGGGGCTAGCACGCTTGTGCAATTATGTAATTCCGCACGTCGATCGTGAAACCACTGCTATAGCTCTGTACAGATATTCTCAATCAGCGCGAGAATGGGTAACTCTCGATCCCTCTTAAATAATGCATTGAGAGACTCCGCGTTGTTTGACGTCATCATGTTGTATCGACGTCCTGGAAAATATGAGTGCCCCCAATATTCAATCCCCATTTTCGTTAAATAGTCCCATGCCGGAATGATTTGCTTCCTATTTTAACCATGTACCTATTACACTATTCAATACTGTAAGCTTCGGTCGCTCTCCTAAACAATGAAATGATACCTTTGCCCAGATACCTGATTTTCAAGTTGCCTTGTCTATTGGTACATGCGATACCTATTATGTGAATCGGGAAAAACTTCAGCAATACTATTTATTATAGACTATCCCCGATCGATGATAAATGCAAGGTCTTCGATTTCTCTGATTACTTCCCTAAGCTTTGTGAAAAACCAACGCATCGACAGATCATTCTCGTTATCAACTATGTCGAATGTAAGAGGGTAAATTTAGATGTTGGAATCTTGACATGTAGCAATAATCAGCTTGCCTTAGTATTTGGATTTCAGAGTTGTATCGTCGACTAAAATTAGGGGTCACATAGCATTTTGAAATCCCCGAATGCATTGTCCAAGAGCCATAAAGAAGAATTTGACGCAGTTCTCGGCCTCCGTCTCAATAAAAATTACCGAGCGAGGATTAGTTTTCTCCATGTTATGGCAATGCCTAGCCAATTTAGCATAGCTTTCCTCTGCCGAGCCCATTAAATCCTCCAACGTGCATTCTTTGGCCTTCCAAACCTTCTGGTAGCTCTTGACTATTTCGTACTCTCGACAAACATAGTTAATGATGTCCGATGGTCTGTGGATTGTCCGTGGATCCTGATACTTGTGCATTATCTATCGACCAATAAACTAAGCTGGGGCTTGCTTGTGATCATTGCGACAACTCCCACTTCACAAGTATATTCTTGTGTATATTTGCGAATTACGAAGCACTCATTCGTGTCCATCTTCATTGCTCGCAAATGCCAACTGCAACTATCATCTACGCATGATAGCGTCAACAACGATCTATTCAATTTTTTCACTCTAAACTCGAAGTTGTATTTCAGTGCAATTAGGTGCACGGCTTCTTATAAATCTTTCTTTGTTTCAAACAGTTGCTCGACATACAAATCCTCATTATCGAGAACCACACGTGAGGAGTTAGAGGACGGTCCACTCGATCTAGCCCCCGAGGTCTCACCCCACTCATGTCTCTATCGGGATAAAGCAATCAAGTCCTCGTTTGTAAAAGTATTTGCATTTTCATTCTCGTTGTCACGAGCTGTGTAGGGATTCTGTGTGCAACTATCTCTGAAATAACCACATCATCTACACGAGCTATCTCCACCGTATCCCAAAAATCATTAGCATTGTAATCCCCACCTCCCGAGTCTATTTGTTCATCTTCGACGACATCCTTCCTTACTAAAGTTACGCAAAGATGAGTCGTGTGCTTATTGTTCAATTCAATCAGATAATTCACTTCATCAAAAGAAGAAATCATTATAGGTGGAATCGGAACTGATGCATGCTCGTTGAATTAAAATTTAAATGTCATGTTATACTGAGAAGGATCAACATTCAACATGTTCTGTAAATTATTATAGAGTTCTGCATACGATGTACTGGATGATATGAAAATTGCTATACCGCCACGTTTAGCACTTATCTATTTTCATACCCATTGATCTCTTTCGTCCAATTCGAAATCACCAAAGTAACAAATTGGGATTACAGCCATATCTGTATGTTGAAACAGAATTTTTAATTACAACAAAAATATCAACAACAATAAGAAAAACCCAAAAGGGAGGAGGGAAAAAAGAAAATAGTTGACAAACAGCTGGTCAAACAGTCGAATCACCGGCGTCGGCATATATGCAGATGAATTTTTTCTGGTTAATGCTTAAAAAATTACATATCTATTAAATTTTTTTTTATCTATTAATCATTAAATGACGAAATACAATTTATCGATTTAAACATACAATAATAATTTAACGAAAACAAGATTAAATTTGCGTATATAAACTTACCGAACCGACGAGATTGATGTCCACAAATTTTTCGACTTTCGATTTCGATAATTTTTTTAGTTTCTGCGGTTGAAACAGATGAAAGATGAAAGTGTTTTATTTGTCTGCGTTAGAGTAAATAGATAAGAAAAGTAAGAAGTGTTTGATTTTTATTTGTTAAGTAAAAGGGTATTGATGTCTTTTAGAAAAATCAACTTTTGTAATTGTATAATGTATTCAAGGGTATTTTTATCTTTTAACATTGGATATGTCATTTCCATAATATCCTTTTGTTAAGAAGTCAATATGAAATTTAGATGATTTGACTGGGTCAATTTTAAAAGTACCCCTAGAAAGACTCAAAATTAGAGGGGCCAAAAACAGTTCGGGCCTCACTCATAGAAACGGAAATTGGACAGGTGAAGCCCAATAAAACCCAATTTGCGCCTTAGGGCTGGCTCATGAGATTTTGATTGTTATATAAGGACCGTAGACCGTCCACTTGAGTCATCGCTTGAAAATCTAGTTTGTCTAAGCTTATGAAATCTACTCGTATTATGTCTGCACTAGTGATTCGTTGAATAAGTTAAGTTTTAGAACATACGTTGATCACTTAGTTAATTAGTTCAATAAGCTAAAATGAGCAACTTGGATGCAAAGCCTTAAATTAAACATAATTAAGCGTAAAAATCTTAAAACAAAATTAATCTAGAACAGTTGCACGGAAAAAGAAAAGTCATCAGAGTAAAAATGAGAGATTTCTCGAATTTCCAATAACAGACTAAAGAACCTCAGATTCTCCAACACAGTAAAAGGAACAAAATCTAGTTCATTCTTCTGATAAGCTCGTTTATATAATCTTCACGGTTTCCAGCGTCTCCTCCTTCAACATAGTGATTTCTCTTCTTCTTCAGACCACCCAATGGCGCCTTCAGTTGGAATGGCCAGATGAAGTTGTTGGCCTCCTTAAAATGAGGTCCAACAGTCATGATCTCGTGAACAAGATCTTCCATGCAGATAATCCCATGTTTGCCAAGAACCTAGACACAAGCCAAGCTTAAGCAGAAAAACTATACAAAATGCAACTGAATATGAGCAAAATAATGTGATAATAATGGAAATACCTGTTCAATAATTGAATTGTCTGTCAAAGCAATCCTCTGCTTGTTGACCTTGCCATAGCCCCTCTTGTATATCAATTCTTTCACGCTCTTCAAGTTGGGGTATCTAAAGAAATCAATGGACAAGGTAAATATTTGACACAGCACACGCACAATATATAAAAAAGTTTAAAAGGGGCTGATTGATCAGAAGCATACCCGTAAGTCACGTAGGGCTCAACTCTGTGCAACATATTCAATGTTGCCTTGTTGACTTTTAGGAACACACCATTAAAAATCTACATAAATAGAAATCAATGGATGAGAATTACAAGAGAAAAGGGTGCACAACAAATAACAAAAAGACCTCATACTGTGCTAAAAGTTCATCCATTGTCCATTGCAGGTTTGAATATGAAAAAGTGTTATAGGAGAGGTAAAACGCCATAGAGACAAATTCCAAATGATAGAACTATCAGCAATCTTAACTAACATCATATCGAACTTGAATTCTCTGACATATCCAAAACCACAAACAAATAAATGGAAATGATTTAAGTGGGGGTGAATAGCCAAAATCATTTACATCAATACCCAGTGTCCTTTAGTTCAGGTCGTCTATCACGAACAAAAATTTATCAACCAACCACTCAAAAATTACCAACTTATGAAATCCATGAATTGGCAAAGGTCAAGCGTGAGATAGACAGGCTAAGCAATTTCATTGTTTTAAACATGGTTTGCAACACACAGTAATGATCAGCAGAAAAAAAGAATTATATTTTCCCTTAAGCCGCATAAATCAGGTATAATCCTCGTGACGGTTAGCAGTCAAAGTTAAAAATAACATCTAGCTGCTGAGAGTTTTGCATAGAAATTAACAAACAAAATTACAACCGCAAAAGACTTGCGGAGTAACCTGTCGTAGACGCAGGAGTTGCAAAATCTTCTTTGTCTGTGGGTGCATGGCATTGATACTGAGTTCAAACAGAAAAGAAAAGTGAGATACAATCTTGCTTAAATAATAAACCAAGTTAGCTAAAGTAACATCAGAACATACCCACGGATTCGAATGAGAAACAGCAGCTTGGGCTCAGAGTCGACATAAAATCCCCCTTTCAACCTTGCCTCGCGCTTCAATTGGATGAGTTCCTTCTCCTACAATATGAGGGTGTGCACAACAATTTAAAACCTAGAGTAATAATTATCGCCATCAAAGATGAGCAAAAGGTATTAAAATGACCTGTTGCTCGTACTCCTTCGCATACTGTTTAGCTTTGTTGTAGATGAGCTTGCGTTGCTCTGACTTCTTCTTCTTTGAAGACTCAAATTCCTGCTTTTTCACCAAAGCCCATTCCTCACTCCTCTTCTGTTTCTTCAGTACAGATTCCGGAACAATCAGCCCTCCCTTCTCCATCTCAACACTAAACATAAATAAATATAGTGGCCACTTTAGAAAAGGATTACCTATTCTCCTTTGCTAAAATTACAATAACCCAAATACTAAACTCGTATACAGATCCCTAAAACGCGTAGTAAGATTCTGTTCAGTCATCTCAGATTTCAGTATTAACATTCAAATTAAAAAAAAAAAAATCACATAGGAGTGATTTAAACACAACGACACACATGTATACTGTGTACATATCAACCAACACGTTCACACTCACATAGACACGTAACATCAAATGCAGATTCATATGATTCTTTAATTTTTCTCATTGTCTTACTTTCAAAGTAATTGTATCATTTCAGTCATCGATTTAAAATGCAAAATTACAAAAACATTTACTCATAGAGCAATGGCAGATTGATTGAAATGAAGAATTGAATCAGCGAACTTACGGTTCTTTACGGTGTAGATCCGACTCCAATTCGGGTGGTGGGTTTGGTTAATGTCTCGGCAGCAGTTCCAGCTGCGTATTAGGGTTAATGAGCAGAGTGGGTGAAAATTAGGGTTTTTGTGTTCAGGGAGAAAATCGATCCAACAGTCAGGATTGGTGTAAAATAATTGGTGAGAGATCACAGTCGTTAGATAAATAAGTATGAATATTGTTATTAACCTCAGGGGTCTAAAGATAGGAGAATCCATAATTTCACCCACTAAGTTTCATTTATTCACTTTTCCCCCAAGTTCTTTATGGAATTTGGAATTTTGCATCAGGATTAACTTTGATCATTATCCACGAGACAATGTCGTGTAAAATTAAAAGTTACTAAAAAGTTACTTTTTTATTTAATAGAAGTCAACGTGAATTTCAACGATACATTCATAACTATTAAATGGTCATTAATCACACATTTCATAAGATCCAATACTATTTTTTATTAAAAAGTTATTAATAATTTTACTTGAACGCTCTTCTAATAAGAAAAGATATTGCAACTTGACGACTAGGTTGGAACAAACCATGATCTCATTGAGGTCATCATGAAAATAATGAGGGTTTCAAGGGATCAATCGAGTTTTTCTATTGATTTAAGCAAGTTCACGCATGATTCTTGACCTTCGAATTTGGTTGAAGATATGAGCCAAGTTGCCGGAATAAATTGAAATAATAAGGTGGTCCATTGGAGTAGTTGGATTTACTTTTAAGCTTCATGTGCAATGTCTTCTCAATATGCTCTCTCGTTTAGTCCCATTATTCCAAAAATTCTCTCTTTTATTTTTAACCATACAATATTTTATAAAATAAAATAAAATAATCGAAACAGCAATCCCTACCTAACATATTCAATTTTTGCAGGCTTTACCCTAACCTTCATTTTGTGTCAACAAAAGTCCATAACCTTTCATAAATATGCAGGTGTGGTCCATTTGGACGAAAATCATCTAAAACACTGTTAGTTGACTTGAAAATTTTAAAAATAAACAGTCTATTTGGGAGGGATTTTTTACCCTAAAAATTTGATTTTTTGACTGTTATTTCACTTTCCAGCCGTAATTTTTGACTACTTCTCTCACGGTGGACCCCACTTTCTTGTAACGGTCAAAAAATCAATTCTCAAAATTCCTCTCAAATGGGGCCAAAGTTTTTAAACTATTTTAAGGATGGGCAATTTCATCGATCACATATTAATCATTAAAATAATAAAAACTCGGTGAAATTGGGATTTAAGGTGGGGTTGAGGGCAATGGATTAGGATCCCTCCCCCTTCCACAATCCAAATGAAAGAGGGCATTTATTACCCCCAATTTTCCTTGACAAATCTCAACAAAAATAAGAACAAACCAAAAAAATTTCAAGAAAAAACCTAAAAAGCTAAAATGATTGACACTAGAGTAGCTTATTTCTTCCATAGAGATTTAACCACAATATGTGACATTCATATTCTACTACTCTTTCTCCTTCATATCTAAAATCAATGGAGCATAATTATTCTAGAAAAGAAATATATTTACAAAGGGTGGATTTAGTTTTGATTTTGGCGATCGTGGGTGGTCACCAGGGACGGAGCTAGACGAGGGGCAAAAAATTTTAAAAATTTAATGTACAAATAAAATTTATATATAATAAAAAAATTCATAATATAAGTTCCCTATTGTAGTTGTACTCGGCGATGTTTTATAGCATAAAATTCATTTATAATAGAATCTAGATCTAAATCTATACTAAATTCTCATTTAATGTTTAGTGTTAAACAATCTGCAAGAAAATCATCATCCATTTTGTTACGAATTTCCATCTACACATGTTTCATTGCTGAAAATGATCGCTCCACAATCGTCGTTTAAACAGATAGTGTCAATACTAAACAAATCAATTTAGTTAAAATGACGTAACTCTCCGACCTTCTGCTTGCAACCAATTCTCGACATAAATCAAAGAGTGTAGGTACTTGAAATCAAGGTTTAGAAATCATATCATTCTGATAATGTAGCAACTTAACTTCTAAACAATAAATATTTTGCTGTGTAAAATTTTCAGGATAAAACCTCTGCAAGCTTGCAAATATTATCCATGTTAAGATTCAAAAGAATTTTTTAGATCCAAAGCCTTACTAAGATAAATGAGTTCTAATGATATCTCACTAAATCTTGTATCTAACTTCATCATCTGAAAATCAATGGTTGTATTGAAATTATCAAAAGTGGTAATGATGTTCAAATGTAGGAAACTTACGACTACGAGAACGACCAACCATATACGAATCATCAAAGTTAGGTACATTTATATCATTTTTTGAGCAAAAACTTTTCACCTCTTCAAGAAATTCTTCCCAACCATCTTATCTTAATGCTTGAAGGATAGTTTTTATAGTATAGACAAATCTCATAGCAGTTAAGATGCCTTGAGTTTTCTTCTGAAGGGCCTAACAAAGCACATCAACAATTACTAATATTCTACGCATTAAATGCAAGATAAATACAAATTCAAATGTTGTCATGGTTTTGTATACACCACCAAATTCAGACCGAGATCTTGTATTTGGAGAATGATCACTAAGATACTCGAGCACCTTACAAATTGTAGCATACATATCAATCAAACTCTTTACAAAGCAATAATGAGAAGACCAACGAGTACCTCCAGCTCGTTGCAAATTACCAATCTGATTAGCACCACTTCCTGACTCTCGTTCTTCGACTTCCAACAAATGCTCAATTTCTTTTCTTTGGGCACTTTTCAACTCATTAATACTCTTAGGAGATGATGTAAACATATTAATAACATTGTCCAAATGAGAAAAAAATTAATTAATATTCTGAGACGTCCCTAACTGCAAAAACCAATGTGGATTGTAAACGGTGGGCAAAACAATGGACATAGTATGCGTATGGACAATCTTTAAAAAATAATGTATATAGTCCATTCCAAGAACCATGCACATTATTAGCACCATCATACCCATGGCCTCTCATGTTTTGCACTTGAAGGTTGAAACGAACAAGAACGTCAGAAATATGATTCTTAAGATTTTATAGAATTAACAGAAAATGTTATAATAAGAGTTAGACCAATGATATATACCTTACAGGATATGTAAGAATTTAAAATTCAAATAAAAGAACTATTAGAAATGCTTGAAGGATAGTTTTTGTAGTACAGACAAATCTCATAGCAGTTAAGATGTCTTGAGTTTTCTTTTGAAGGGACTGACAAAGAACATCCGCAATTACTAATATTCTACGCATTAAATGCAAGATAAATACAAATTCAAATGTTGTCATGGTTTTGTATACACCACCAAATTCAGACCGAGATCTTGTATTTGGAGAATGATCACTAAGATACTCGAGCACCTTACAAATTGTAGCATACATATAAATCAAACTCTTTACAGAGCAATAATGAGAAGACCAACGAGTACCTCCAGCTCGTTGCAAATTACCAAACTGATTAGCACCACTTCCTGATTCTCGTTCTCCGACTTCCAACAAATGCTCAATTTCTTTTCTTTGGGCACTTTTCAACTCATTAATACTCTTAGGAGATGATGTAAACATATTAATAACATTGTCCAAATGAGAAAAAAATTAATTAATATTCTGAGACGTCCCTAACTGCAAAAACCAATGTGGATTGTAAACGGTGGGCAAAACAATGGACATAGTATGCGTATGGACAATCTTTAAAAAATAATGTATATAGTCCATTCCAAGAACCATGCACATTATTAGCACCATCATACCCATGGCCTCTCATGTTTTGCACTTGAAGGTTGAAACGAACAAGAACGTCAGAAATATGATTCTTAAGATTTTATGAGGTAGTGTCACTAACACTTTTAATTGCAAAAAAAGGTTCTGCAAATTCTGTTGCTACTCTCAAACCTCAGGATAAATGGTCATTTGTTCTCGTGAGGATTCATCTGGTGCTTCATCAATAAGAATACTAAACTTTTCATCCCCAATTTCGTCACGAATTCTTTGTCACATTCTATTAGCCATAATGTTCAAAATTTCTTTCTGAATATCTGGAGGCGTGTACGTAGCATTTTTGAGAGCATTACTTAACACAACTTTTCCTACTTCAATATTCATTTTTCCAAATACATCCACCAGTTCAATAAAATTCCCACGATTCAGTGAAGATGGAGATTCATCATGTCCTTTAAAGGAACAATCTTGAAGTGCTAACCGCTTAACACTAATAATAGTGGTCTTTAGACGCAAACGATTTTTCTGTTTTTCCTCATTTGATATAGAATGCATTACCTTGTCAATATGTTGAGTTGGTTTCATTAGATCTTCAGCTCTTCTCTTACAACCATTATGAAACGACGAATGTGTTGTACCAACATGAATAAGAAATGCACATTTAACAAATGCTTCATAAGTAAATATTCATATTAACATTTAACAATTACTTATTTCTTATAAATAAACATTTTAAGCGTAGCCAAAAATTTAAGTAGAGACTAGGCTGTGAGATTTTCGTCATGCCTAAGATTAGGAAGTAGCTTCAATTTGACAACAGGAAGAGTAAATATTAGAAATCAAAAGGATTGCTTCACAATACAAGTACGTCAAAAGTTTCAATTTTCTTGATCCCAACACATCCTTGACAATTTTCTTGAGGGGTTTGCCCAACAATCAAAGAACTCAAAATGTAAAAACACATCCTTACCAACTGCCAACTAAATACTATATAGGAAAGAATTGAAACAAGTAAAAAGAGAGCAACAAATGCTTCCTAATTGACATTAACAGGTGTTTGTATTTTGTAAGTTTGTAACTCTAATTCGTAGGAGAGGGCAGAAACTAGAAAGCTACAAACTCTAAGATCTTGAACAAAATTTCAAATCCTTAAACTTCACCGATTCAAGTTGGATTCTTATACCTAGTATTTATCAATTATCATATACAAACCAATTATAATTAATTGAAAAGATATCGAAAGATTTTCATGTTCTAATTAGTAAATTAATTAATACTTACCCTAATTAGTAATTCCCCAACCCCAAGTCGACAGGTAGCCAGGCGGTGATGGGTCACGGACTCACGGCAGTCAGCAGAGCAGGCAGAGAGTCGGCACTCGACGATCCATATCGACGGCTACGGACAGGGGAGAGGTGAAAAGATACAAGGATTTTGATTGGGAATTATTTCAATTGGTTTTGCAAAATAGGGGACTACACGTGAATAAATAATTGGAAGAAATTGGTATTATCAATTGATACAAATAAAGTGGGTTAAAATTATATAAATTAGTGGGCTAGCGATTAAAACAAAAAATTATTTGAGGTGGACTAGTCCATTGAATTTTATTGTTAGTGGGCTAATAGACTACAATTCACATACAATTTTTTTTTTTTTTTTTTGTTTTTAAAACATCTAGGCCTAGTCAACAGTGGGCTACAGCCAAGTGCAGCCCACCTCTAAATCCGCCCCTCGTGGTTGTTGCGAAAAGAGGAGGAGGTTGGGGTTAGGTTAAATTTGGTTTTGGTATGGTGGGCGGAATGGGTAAAGATGGCAATTTGAACCATCAAAATCGAAAACCGCAGTTAATCGAATTGAATGGGGCGAAAAAAATTGAACCGATGGTGCAATGGGACGGATATGATTTTGATTTTAATGAACCGGTTCGTAATGGTGCGGGTATGATATTTACGTCGTCGAACCAAAACCGAACCGATTACCTACTAAAAAAAACACAATTGAATTGATTATGGGTTTTTCACTACTTTTCTATTCAAACCAAAACAAAATCCCTCCCCTCCTCATTACATCTACCTAACTCATTCGGCCAGCCCACTTACCATTAGCCCATAATAGCATTAGTATGATAGTATATAAATGCAAACCCTACTTTCCACAAACCACAAACTCAGGCACGGCTCCACTGCCTTTACGGTCCAAGTCGTCGTCGCCTCCGAAAATTTGTTATATTTGTTAGCCATTCTATTACTGCTGATCATGTAAAAATAGAGTTCGATATTTTTCTAGACATGCCAGTATTGCCAAGGATGAATAGGAATCAACTTTGAATACTGATCTATGCTAGTAAAACTTGTAGGGAAGAATGAATCAAGTAACTTCAATACACAACAATTAAGAATGAAGGAAAAGTTTAGTATTATTATATTTATAATATTATTTGTTAAATTTGTATTTTACAATTGAAAATTAGGATAATGTTTGCATTTAAGTTTGGAATATTGTTTGATAATGTTTGCATTTTCGTTTGGAATATTGTGTTTTTGTTTTCTTTGACTTTTTTCATAAATTATTTTATGTCAATTTGACGGATGAACCTATAAAAAATAATTTATTTTTGTGGTTATTAACCTAACCAAACCGTACCGAACCGAGATACGAACCAAACCGATTTACGTGGTTATGGTGCGGTTATGGTATGATCAAAAAATTGGTGGTGCGGTTATGATTTTGACCGACCGTTGCCAACCCTATGAATGGGTTGGAGGAGATGAACAGTTCATGTTCTTTTTATATTTTTATTTTTATTATTTTGAGGGATTTTACCGTACTTTGAACAATGAACAAGGGAAAATGCCGTGGACAAAACTGTCCCTCCTTAAAATGGTCAAAAGTCCTCATTTTTTAATTTTTCTGGTCAATCGACGGTGTTTTGGACGGTTTCAGTCTAAATAGACCTCAACTACATATTTATGAAAGGTTAAGGACCTTTGCTAGCACAAAATGAGGGTTAGGATAAAATTTACAAAAATTGAAAAAGATCAGGGACCGCTACTGCAATTTTTCTTAAAATAATATTGCTCGTAAATCGAAAATTTTAACATATTTTTCAACCACACATTCTTTAAAATATATATATATATATATTCCAAAAATTATAATTGTGACATAATGGGGGTCAGACGGAGGCAAAAATTTATATTTTTAGTTTGATTAATTTTTCCATCAGAATCCTCAAACTGGGCAAAAAATAAAAACAATGAATTACACACAGATAATCAATGACATAAAAGTACAACTTAAGATATATAATTAGTAATTACTAAAAAATAAATTTCTAGTCGTGTGTATATACAAGAATTATGCCCCCGTTTGGTCCCTTTCTTTTCAATTTTAATGGTTGGAATAGAGTTTTTTTTTTGAAAAATGTATGGTTGAAAAAGAATGAAAAATTTTTAATTTGTTTATAATATTATTTTATGAAAGATTATGTAGTTGAAAATAAAAGAGAATGAAAAATGAGAAGGATAAAGGGGACAAATGGGGGCTATATTGATTCGTTGATACAAATATGACATCAGTTTGGATTATTTTTTCACGTCCATTTACAAGAGTACTATAATCACTTTGTGTTAAATTTGCTTAAATTCCGTTTTTTATCTTTCAGTGTTGAATGAATTTTGGGTTATCCAACTTTGTACGGAGTTGTTTTTATGTTGATTTACTTGTTAATTCTTGTTTGTTTAATTAACGTAATATATTGACTTGGACGATAAAATAATTTTTTTTAAATTTATTTAAATTCCTTTTTTTTTTTTTTTTTTTTTTTTTTTTTTACCCCTTCTTTTCAACCCTCATCTCTCGCTCTCATTCAAAATTTTGAACTTCAAACCTCAACTCTTGATTCTTCATTCTGTGACATTTTTATTGCATCGATTGTGTATGAGAGTTGAAGATATTCCGGGTGAGATTTATCTACTTTTTTGCTGGTTTGATAATTTTTATTTTTTGATACTTCCTTTTTCCTCGTAAATGGGGTTTTAGTTCTTATATTTGAAGCTTTCTAATGTTTGTTTCTTTTTATTTATTCGTTTATTTTCATCTCTACAATGAATATTTGAATGTCTGCTTTCTGCTGTTTAATGGTTTTTACCCACTTATATTTCTCTTTAAATCCTGTTATTATTTTATCAATAATAATGCAAAAATTTGTAAAATAGGGAACTAACGTGACAAATTGTGAAAAGCTTTGTAATTTGGGAACGCAACGTAGATTTTTACAATTTAAGTTTCACCCTCGAGAAGAAGCAATTTGTGCCTTTGAAGCTTTTCAACATAAACCATGAATCCAACTGCATCTATTTGATTTCTAATCCTGCTAATTTTTCAGATAGAGTTAATTATCTTGTACGTTGGTCAAATGCAAAGATCAAGGTAGTTTTTTTATCCAGAATCTCGAATCGGCAGTTGTCTTGGTTTTGTTACTTTTGATTGATACATATTATTTGGAAACAGGAGAGTAGAAATGCCTCAAAACAATCTACCTGAGGTCCACCTCATCCGAGGACTTTAAGCTTGAATTCTGACACGTTACACTATCGATCAAGAGTTGACAGGAGTCGAAAGCCAGCAGATGGTCAGTTTCCTCGAGGGACTCTGTCTGATCTTGCAAATCGAAAGAAACTGGGGACACGTATTGCTGATTTGGAATGTCACGTTGGCCAAGCACAGGAGAAGTTCAAAACTCTCAAGGACCAATTATCTTTAAAAGGGGCTTCAAAGAAAGTGGAGAAGAAATCAAAGAAACAGCAAATGGTTCTTGAGTCATTGGAAACTCAAGAAAATGACTCTATTTCAGTTCAAACTGAAGAATCCAATGACAAGTACAATACTAGTGCTTGTGAAACATCTGATGAATACCAGCAGGAGACTGATATTTTTGAAGTTCCAGCTGAGAAAGTAACTATGAAATCGACAAGTAAACCATGCCCCCTAGATGATCGAGATGAAATTGAACCAAAATCTGTTGGTTTATCAACTGAATCACCAAAGATGTTGGAGCCAGAAGAGTCATCATTACATGAGTTGGCTCTGAAGGATGATGAACTGAAGTTGCTAAAGGCGAAGTTGGAGGACAAAGAAAATGACCTGGAAGTATTTCGCTTAGAAAATGTGTGAACTTAAAGAACAAGCTAAATGAAAAGTTGTAGGAGATATCATCAGTGGGATCCAAGAGAGATGAAGTAACTTCAAGTTTGAATCAAGTTGAACAAGAACTGGAAAGGAGCAAAAGCAGTGCTGTCCAGTTAAATGAGAAATTAGAAGCTGCTGAAAATGCAGAGGAATTAGAAACTGAAATGAAGAAGCTTCAGGTAATAACAGAGCAATGGCGAAAGGCAGTTGATGCTGCAGCAACGGTTCTAGCCGGTGATGTGGAGACGAATGGCAGAAGAATTTCTAAACGCTGTGGATCCATGGATACACACACTGGCAACGTCTCCAAATTAGTAGATTTGGATTCACAAGTACTAATTGATTATCCAGACTATGTTATTGGAGGTGGAAACAGGGATGGAGCCAGATATTTGGCACTGTGGCGTCAAAATTAAGATACAATTTCTTTTAGAACAACGTATCATAATATGTTATTTTGAACGCTCGCTTCAACTACATTTTGCTCTACACTCGAAAATAAGGATTTTTGTTTAAAATATTTCTCCATGAATGTTACAAAATCAAATTCAATATTAACAAAATATGAGCACATCATCTAGATGAGAGAATTTGCTATTTCAGTTGAATAAATAGTAAGAAGAAACAAGATGACGTCAATTTTTTATTTTTTATTTTCCCTCACTAGCAAAGACCAAAATCATACTTTCTAGGTTCAAAAAAAAATTTATAGTTGTCTTCTTAATTTCTTATTGATAGTTGCAACAATTAGATCCAAACTCCATTATTTAACCGGATAAGGATAAATGCATGATTCTCCAAAAGACATCAAATAATTAAAAAAAAAAATCCAAATGCTATATTAATAATTTCCATAATATGGCAGTGTCGACTTGTTTAGATGTTTATGTTTTTTCCTGTAGACTAGATAATAACTAATAAACTATGGGAATTGGGGATTATAGTTGAAAATATTTCTCAAATCTCAAATTGGACTTGACAATAAACAATTGAACAAGGTTATATTTAATCTTTAGTGTATAAAAAAAAAAAAAAAAAGACCGAAAATTTTTGTGGTGTCAACTGACCCCACATGACCCCATGTGGGTCCGTCAGTGCACGGTGGAAAGGGGAAAGTTTCTTGGTTGAGAATTGGAGAACTGTGGAAAAAGAAGGGCCAGAAGTAGAATTTGTATTTGTTACTACAATCTTGAAATTAAGGGCTCAAACCATTCATAATTGTCATGCTTTCTTATGTAATTTGCAGTCTTTATACTTGCACGAGGTTGGACTTCCATCATGTCGTTATTAATATGTTCTGGTTGTTACTTACACATTCAGTTAAAAGTTATAAAAGTAGTTCCAAAGATGAAAGATATTGGTTAAAAACAAGAGAAATAGCCAACACAATTCATTCTTCAAGCATCCAATTGTACAAGGATAGATCAACAACCTTCATCATCTTCATGAAATTACATGCATAATTTTTCACAAATTGGCAAGGTAATAAATCTACATGATTTGCTGCCAAAATTGGGCTTGGTCAAATAGGATTCTGTTGCAGCGACGTTCAGTAGAGAGAAATTTCAGGCAGTTCATCAGGTTTAATTGCAAAATCTATGTAGTTTGCATGTCTTTGACACAGAACTAGAGGAAGAGCACTGATGGACCCACATGGGGTCATGTGGGGTCAGTTGACACCACAAAAATTTCTGGCCTTTTTTTTTTTTTTTTAACACTAAAGATTAAATATAACCTTGTCCAATTGTTTATTGTCAAGCCCAATTGCACAAGCCCATTAATTGATATTTTACCTATCCAACTCCATCTTCAAGTCCATTCTCTGCACTCTTTCACGTTTTGGGATTTTCTTTCTTGTGCCAACTTTGTGATCTTTCTTCCGTTTAGGTAACAAATCGACACCCTGCTTGTTTGATTTTACATATTTTTATTCTAAAATTCATTTGAGTAATTGAATTTGAGATTTGAGAAATATTTTCAATTATAATCCCCAATTCCCCATCGCTTATTAGTTATTATCTAGTATACAAGAAAAAACATAAACATCTAAACAAGTCGACACTGCTATATTATGGAAATTATCAATATAGAATTTGGATAGTTTTTTTTGTGATTATTTGATGTCTTTTGGAGAATCGTGCATTTATCCTTATCCGATTAAATTATGGGTTTGGATTTAATTGTTGCAACTATAAATAAGAAATTAAGAAGACAACTATAAAATCTTGTGTTAATCTGGAAAGTATGACTTTGGTCTCTGCTAGTAAAAAAAAGAAAAAGAAAAGTTGATGTCATCTTGTTTCTTTTTACTATTTATTCAACTAAAATAGCATATTCTCTCATCTAGATGATGTGCTCATATTTTGTTAATATTGAATTTGATTTTGTAACATTCATGGAGAAATATTTTAAACAAAAATCCTTATTTTCGAGTGCAGAGCAAAATGTAGTTGAAGGGAGCATTCAAAATAACATATCATGATATGTTATTCTAAAAGAAATTGTATTTTAATTTTGACCCCACAACGCCAAATGTCTGGCTCCGTCCTTGAGGAAGAGCTTTACGCAAGCTTTCATCAAACCATTTCTGAACATAGAATAAGTTCTCTAGGTTCAGAATAGCCACTTCCGATTGAAGCAAATGCATCTTGGTTAACACTACCAACATTTTTTTTTCGGGAGTGGAAACATCTATCGAAATAAACAACAAAACATTGGTCAGCTTCAGGAAAAAAGTGAAGTCGTTGCTTAGTCCAGGAAACATCAAAAGAAGACTGATATCAACTTGCGATTCTTCTGCTATCAATCATCTTCATCACTTCCATATTGTTGGTATAATGATTGCAATCCACTGCTTGCAACAGCGTTGGGTTCTGCCTCCTGATTCTTTGGCTCCTCCTTTGATGGCTTGGTACTATTGGAATCAGGAAGTGGTTTCTTAAGAATAGAAACAATGACCGTTGAAGACGTGAAAATGAATTTACCACTATTAGAAGGCCCAGAACTTTGCGTATTACTTGCAATAACCGCAATGGTTGATTGTTCAATATTTTAGAAAACACAACAGTATTTAATATTATCTGGCCATCTCAAAGAGGGCAATCTTTGCAAGTAACAAAGAGAAAAATTAGTGATAAGTGACATGGCAAAACGAGTAACCAGGCATATTACATAAATCCAATCCAATCCAACTTTCAACAATCAATAGTTGCTAAAGAGAGGGGTGTGCTTTGTGAAACAGAGTAAATTCACACAATTTATGCGTCATTTATTATATGGGAAACAAATTTCTAGATGCATCCAACATTCAACAAACTAGCAATATAGCCCTTATTTGGGATCCATTAAAATGTAATTTTCGAAAAATGTATTTTGGAATAGAGATTTTTTTTTTTTAGAATGTGGTTAAAAAATAAAGAAAATTTTCGATTTACGTGTAATGTTATTTTATGGGAGAATGTGTGGTTGTAAATAAATTTCGAAAAATGAGTTTTTGAGAAAATGGGGACCAAACATAGGCATATTATATACAAATGCTAGGATATTCAAGTCTTTATCAGAATTGGAAACCTTGAATTTGGAAGAAATTTGTTAACAGTAATAATTCTAGGGAAAGAGGTATATTTGTTTTTATCATTTTTAAATAGACAGAGAAGTGGCCAAGTGATCAAGAATACAACATGGAAAAGAGGAGATCAACAAAAAATTATATCTTAAAATGGAACTTGAGGTCAAGTTACTAACCTTTACTATTAGAGCTGTCAAGAACAGTACCATTCGTCAAAGAATCTGTTGGATTACAAGGTTCTTCGGATACCTTTCTCCTCTGCATAAAAAGTAAATCCCTAGAGTATTCAAACTAAATATACAAGCAGGCTTACATAAGTGCATCTCAGAGAACGCCTACAAATCTAGCAAAGATATAAAGTGATAAAAAGAATTAGCTTAACTAGTAGATTCAGGATCTAATGATCATGCTACAGAAATCTAGTTCTTCAAGGGCTCATCCTAACTAAATCAGAGGGTATAAAATTAGTTAATTTTTTTATTTTACTAATTGTAAAATTAAATTGTGTGTGGCATGCAAACCCCGTGCCTCATAAAGAGAATCAGATCAATGAAATGGTTCTCAATCCCCATAGCTATACAATAACCGTCAGCACCCTTATCTCCTTTAAAAAATGAAATGGACTTGACTTCAAGTATTCTTTACCCTACCTTATCTTCAATCACACCTCCGTCAATCAAAAAGAGAGAACAAATGAATAGGGGTACATCAAGTGAATGAAATTGGCCATTGCAAGTGATAAATTTTTAAATCTTTAGTATTAGTGTCTTTTTACTAGAAAACTTGTACATTCAGAAGTTTTTGGAACACTTCCTGGAAGCTGTCACTGAGTGCAGGTACTTGTTACCCTTTCTAGTCAACAAGAAAATTGGACACACAGCTTTGCCCCACTGATAATATTCAATAAAGTTGATTCGTCAAGAAAAAATAGATAAAACAGCATCTACATGAAAAGTGTATAGGATACACAAGTTCGCCACAATGGCCAATGTTATGTACTTAATGGAAATAGATAAAAAGTTGTTATGGCAAATTTATATATCATTACTCCTTTCTGCTAGATGTTCAAGCAAAAAATTACAACCAACATTGACCTTTTCAAATGGGAAAAAAAGGAAGAAGATATTTACACATTTAGAGTCCATTTTGTTTCACAACACTGTGAAGGAAATAAATAAGTTGAAGGCATGGAAAACCAGAAAATAAAGGTTAGTTGCAACTTGTCATTATACTTATTCCTTCCTCCGAAAGTTCAGAATAAGTGGGTGACCTAGGAATGTGTTTTCCTCAGCATTTTTTTTCTGAAAAATACTTACTATACCTCAATTTTTTTAATTAGATTTTCCTCCACCCACTTTAATTTGAATGAAAAGAGAAGATTTAAATAGGGCAAAACTCAACTAGGTGCCAAAGAAAAGAACTCAACCTTTGAATGATCAGCAGATGTTCCTTCTTTGTCAAATGGAAACATGGGAAAATCTTCTTCATCATCGATATCCTTAGCATCAATCCTTCTAATAAAAGCAGGCTTTCGTGGTCCCTTAGTAAATAGTTAAACCAAGCAATGCCCAGCGTGAACAAATACACAAAGAAACAAAGTAATAACAGTAATAACAATAAATACAAACCATAATGATAAGATTTTGACAACAGATGTTCACCTTGAACACAGCCTTTATAAGAGCTTCATCCTCTTCTTCTAACTTCCTTTCCTATCAAAATAAAAGTCCAAATTATACTAAGATTCAAAGTAGGAAGTAGTTTGAACAAGCATGCAGAAAGATTGAAAATAAAATTTATTACTCCAGGATAAATTGATAAATAAGACTACTACTAACATTGTTACGGACCAACACCTGCATAATTTCGAAATTTTGATTAAAAAAAAATTGTTTCAAAAATTAGGACTATCATCTTCCCTTTTTTCCGTTATGATCCTAATAAGGGTTACTTTGTTACTGTTGTTAGATCCTAACAAGTATTAAAAAAAGCTCCAAATCACTTTACTATTACTAGCTTTACCCAGTTAACTGACATAATGTTACTATAAATTAAGGAATAGCATTCAAAAAGAAGTCTCATGAACAGACCAGCCAATTTTTGTATTTTTTTTACCATTTCCTTGAGTGCAGCCATATAAACACCACACTACAAGCATCCATCAATGCAATAAGGTCAGAAAATTAGAATTATGACATTAATATTCAGAAATCATACTTCAGACAACTGACAAGTGATTATGAAGATCTCCCAGCTCACGAAACACAAAGCCTGTGAGAGAGAGAGAGAGAGAGGGAGAAAGAGAGAGAGAGAGAGAGAGAGCACATCTTCTATGCTAAACTAGCATCAGCATCTCACCTTTACCTGATTTGAGCGTTGCAAAGCTTCAAGCATTGCATCTACACTCACAGTTGCATGTCTTGACTGAAAAAAGAAAGGAAAATAATATGAGTCATATCAAGCGTTAAAAAGACCCCAAAAAGGGAAACAAGTATCAAGAAGTGATTAGAAAACACTCATACAGCACATCACTTGATCAAATGATCACCTTCATAGACTTCATTTCATCCAAAGCAGCTAGGATATCCATTTCTCTCTTGGAGTCCAAAGTTCTATTCTCCAACGATTTCATGGCATCTCCCATCTCTTCAGCATTCCTTTTCTTTTTCTCTTCATCTATTACCGATCAAGAATGAAATAACAATTAGTGAAAACTCAAACAAGTATGTGCAAAAATAAAATAAAAAGGCTTTACATAAATATGAAGGGTACTCAGATAACAAGTAAAATAATTTTTCACCTCATCCTCTGTTTGCCAAGGTTCGAAATTTCTAGTTGCACCGGACTCAATGATATAATCAGAATTCTGTGGATCTGTCTTGAATGTTATTTCAGCCGAGCATTTAGTAGATTTGAAATAGAACCTGAAAATTTGGATTCCGAGATAGGTCTGCAAATAAATGTAACATGCACAAGTTAATCAAATAATGAAACCATGAGCAGAAATCAATAAAAAGTATACTTATTGAAAGAGAGATCCAAGAATTAACATAACCAAGTACTTGTTCGTGTTTCACTATAAATTGCTGAAATTATGAGTCCTAAGAATGCTTGTTTAAAAGTAAAGTTTGATTTTGACCGTTAAATTATAAGAAGTTTATAATGAAAGGCAAACAAGCGCCAAAACTAACTTAATTCGTAGCTACAATACAGTGATTATTGTTGACCATCATAAAGATTCCAATCTTTTTCAAGTATTTTACAATTTACCTAAACAAAATGAGACTCACTAGCTTTAAGAAAACCAATCCAGTTCGGTAGGACAATATCTATTAAATAAAACCCCAAACTTCCAGAGTCCTCAGGGACTTCAAAATATAAAGACCAAATCTTAAAACCATAAAATTGGAAGATTGCAGAGACCCTAGACAAATACTAAGCAATACCCATAACTAAAAATCAAATCAAAGAACATCTTATTAGTCAAAATAATCAATTAAAACAACATAGAAGTAGTATATATATTCTTGCATAATTTCGAAATTTTGATTAAAAAAAAATTGTTTCAAAAATTAGGACTATCATCTTCCCTTTTTTCCGTTATGATCCTAATAAGGGTTACTTTGTTACTGTTGTTAGATCCTAACAAGTATTAAAAAAAGCTCCAAATCACTTTACTATTACTAGCTTTACCCAGTTAACTGACATAATGTTACTATAAATTAAGGAATAGCATTCAAAAAGAAGTCTCATGAACAGACCAACCAATTTTTGTATTTTTTTTTACCATTTCCTTGAGTGCAGCCATATAAACACCACACTACAAGCATCCATCAATGCAATAAGGTCAGAAAATTAGAATTATGACATTAATATTCAGAAATCATACTTCAGACAACTGACAAGTGATTATGAAGATCTCCCAGCTCACGAAACACAAAGCCTGTGAGAGAGAGAGAGAGAGAGGGAGAAAGAGAGAGAGAGAGAGAGAGAGCACATCTTCTATGCTAAACTAGCATCAGCATCTCACCTTTACCTGATTTGAGCGTTGCAAAGCTTCAAGCATTGCATCTACACTCACAGTTGCATGTCTTGACTGAAAAAAGAAAGGAAAATAATATGAGTCATATCAAGCGTTAAAAAGACCCCAAAAAGGGAAACAAGTATCAAGAAGTGATTAGAAAACACTCATACAGCACATCACTTGATCAAATGATCACCTTCATAGACTTCACTTCATCCAAAGCAGCTAGGATATCCATTTCTCTCTTGGAGTCCAAAGTTCTATTCTCCAACGATTTCATGGCATCTCCCATCTCTTCAGCATTCCTTTTCTTTTTCTCTTCATCTATTACCGATCAAGAATGAAATAACAATTAGTGAAAACTCAAACAAGTATGTGCAAAAATAAAATAAAGAGGCTTTACATAAATATGAAGGGTACTCAGATAACAAGTAAAATAATTTTTCACCTCATCCTCTGCTCGCCAAGGTTCGAAATTTTTAGTTGCACCGGACTCAATGATATAATCAGAATTCTGTGGATCTGTCTTGAATGTTATTTCAGCCGAGCATTTAGTAGATTTGAAATAGAACCTGAAAATTTGGATTCCGAGATAGGTCTGCAAATAAATGTAACATGCACAAGTTAATCAAATAATGAAACCATGAGCAGAAATCAATAAAAAGTATACTTATTGAAAGAGAGATCCAAGAATTAACATAACCAAGTACTTGTTCGTGTTTCACTATAAATTGCTGAAATTATGAGTCCTAAGAATGCTTGTTTAAAAGTAAAGTTTGATTTTGACCGTTAAATTATAAGAAGTTTATAATGAAAGGCAAACAAGCGCCAAAACTAACTTAATTCGTAGCTACAATACAGTGATTATTGTTGACCATCATAAAGATTCCAATCTTTTTCAAGTATTTTACAATTTACCTAAACAAAATGAGACTTACTAGCTTTAAGAAAACCAATCCAGTTCGGTAGGACAATATCTATTAAATAAAACCCCAAACTTCCAGAGTCCTCAGGGACTTCAAAATATAAAGACCAAATCTTAAAACCATAAAATTGGAAGATTGCAGAGACCCTAGACAAATACTAAGCAATACCCATAACTAAAAATCAAATCAAAGAACATCTTATTAGTCAAAATAATCAATTAAAACAACATAGAAGTAGTATATATATTGTTGCATGTACCTCTCCGATGACATCTTCTTTGCGGGAATTGAATTTTGTACCCTTATAAATATAATTCCCACAAGTGCCACAGCGGATGCTCATGGGAAGCATCATGCGAACCTTGATGTGTTGGTTCTTCGACTGTTGTCGACAGAGAATCTTAGCTGGATCGAAGTTTGGCGAGTAGTATTTGTTCAAGACTTTTCTCTCTCCCATCTCTGCTTCTAGTCAGCAGAAATTCAGACTGGAACCTCAGGAGCAATATCGAATCCAAGCAACTTCAGCTTACAAAATATTAATCCTCCAAAAAGTTCACAACTACAATAGTTTCTTAAAGCTTTTTTTCCCCACTAAAAATAAATAGGCTTTTCAATGTAATGCAATATAAATATAAAGCAGCAAAAATATAATTTTCTACAGAAATTAAGGCAAGGGTTCTAATGTAACGTACAAAAAATATGAAACAGCCAAAAAGATTATGTTTCTACAACAATTAGAGACAGGGTTCTGATATAATGCAAATTGACTAATAAACAGCAAAAAAGATAATGTTTCTGACAAATTAAATTTAGGGCGTTAACGTTCAGCAAAATTACCTTAACAACTCGTAGACTTGGGATTAATTGCAATCAAAGAAAGCAATCTGGCATGAATATTGCAGAGGCTTTAAGAAAAAATGTAGATCTCTAGTTCGCTTAGAATGGTGCAAGAAAACGATTAGGAATGTAGGAAAACAGTAGAGTATCTATTTAAGAATACAACTAGTTTAAATTTTATTAAGAGTCCCTAATCTTTGTTTATAGTTACATTTAAGTTCATGGCCTTTTTTCCATTACACCGTCATCCTTGACCTTCTCTTAAGTAGCATAATTTGTCTTGAAAGACGATTTTAGTACAAATATTCTATTTGGAAAAGAGTATCTGTTTAAGAATACAACTAGTTTAAATTGTATTAAGAGTCCCTAACCCAAATTTATAGCTACATTTAAGTTCATATCCTTTTTCCCATTACACTGTTATCCTTGATCTTCTATTAAGTAGCGAAATTCGTCTTGAAAGTCAATTTTAGTATAAATATTCTATTAATATTCTTCAAATGAGGGACAAATGTATAATCATATTTGCTTATTTAAAATACGTCTATGTTCAAACCTTTAAGTTGTCTAGAAGAATAAAATCGATACCATTATGAATGGAAAAAATGTAATTTGATTCAGAAAAATGAAAATATTTACGAACAAAAAATATCCAAGAAATCTTTGCCTTCATGGAACAGAGTTCTTGCAAGCATGACATTTCATTTTGAGGGATCCAAACCATTTAGTTAATTTAGTTAGGTTCGGAAGAAATTTCTCTTGCCAACAAGTGTTGCGAGCCAAAAACAATTAACAACAGAATGAAGGTTTTTTTGTAGTATTTAGGCAAAATTATTACGTAGCCCCTATTATTTCGAATTTTAATGGGTATATATATATATATATATATTATTTTTAAATAAAAGGTTTTCAATTTACGTGTAATTTTATTTTATGAAAGATTGTGCGGTTGAAAATATGAAAGAAAAAAATAAAAATTAATTTAACGAGGGCAGTGTAAGGAAATTAGTGCTCAAGAAACAGAGAACTCAACTGACATGAAACTATATGAATTTATTGACTAACAAAATTCACGAAATAACCAAACGATATAAAACAAATCGTTTCTTCAATAAAAGGATGCAATGAAGTAGCATCTTTCAAAGAGCGCTCTTCATATATCATCTTGTTCGATTGCAGTCCATATCACCTGGTTACCTTGTAGCTCTGGATGATACAGAAACATTGAGAGCATCAATTATAGAGGCATGAAAATATATGCACTGAAAATGGGGAAGTATTGAGGGCAACATTGGCCATAAGCTTGAATAAAAATAGCTTTAGCAATCAAGTAAAAGCTTTTCTTGGACCTCTCGAGATGAATAAAAATAATAATTTCAACTATCCTTTAAGGTTGTGCATGTGCAGTCCATTCCTGGCAAAGTAAATCAAAGGCCCAAACACATACCTTGACACGTTTTACTAGCTCTTTAGCCTTCGGATCATTCTTGAAATGATCTCTTACAGGCTGCAAAGGAAAGACACGATGAATTAATCAGACGCAATCGATAGAGAAATAGAGGTATTCTTGAGAAAGGGTCCAAGGAATCCTAGCTCAGTGTATCAATAGATGGACATCAATCCACACGAGTGTTATATATTTGACTCCCAAAAATTATAAGTTTAAACCATACCCATCTTGAATTATTCCAATAAAATGAGGCTTGGGATCAAATGGCTAGATGCAGCACCATCTCAAACTTGGACAACAGTGAAATAAAATATCAAGGCGTAAAAAACCTATTTAGTGTTTGAAAGAGTTGACTTTATACTAGTTGGTTTATTCCTGTCACATACCTGAAAAACAAAATGAAAGAAAAAAAAACAGATATTTGATATCATATGCAATGCAAATTGCCACTTATTTTTGCTAATATGAATAAATAAGTGCAATAACAGTATTTAGACTTCAAGCCAAACAAGCACGTATACACATAGAAGTAAAACATATCACCAACCAATCATGATATCACCATTGCGACACATATAGACAGACTATATATGATGCAGATCAATGAAGTTTGTACAAGAACCAGGCTCTACAGTGGGCTTGCGATTGAGGTAGGTGCACAAAGATGGACATCTGGGATATGAAACTATTTGAAAATTGTAAACAATTAAAATCTATATAACTAAATGATTCGAGAGAGTAGAACATGCTCAAGCGAGAGGCTGTGATTTCCTCTAAAAGCACTTTTCAAATAAGAGCTCTTGTAGAAATTAATTTCCAATTAAAATTAAGAAAACTTTCTAGAAAACTCTTCTACAAGAAGTAAAAGCAAAAGCCAAAAAAGGGACCCATACACAAGTTAAAAAAAAGAGAAAATGGAGACTGTTATACAAATTTTAATGAATAATCTCGAAAGGAAAACTCTTTTAAGATTCTTCAAACCTTCAGTTAAAAATAGGATCGAGGGCCTGAAGTTCTTACATTTTTATGCATACAGATCTCAAATAATAGCACCAAACTTATTATTTTTTTTCACTTATTATTTCATTACTTTTTTCTCATAACAGCTGGTTTCCATGGTAAAGAAATAATCATTCAACTATTTTCCTTTCATTTTGGAACAGATTATAAATTGTGGGTGCTTACTTCAGCATCATGACACCTAACACACAAAGCACATATATCTTTAAAAGAAACAAATTACAATAGTGATTGTACATAAGAATCAAACTTCTAATATCTAGCATAATTTTCTTTATATCAAGACGTCATCGTCTCCAAATATATATGCTATAATATGGTATACATGATGATCAAGAAATTCCATCACAATACGAGGGTACATTAGTAATTCATATTGATAGCCTATTTTATTGTATAACGATAAATATGACCAATCTCGTTCTTGATACTGTTAAAAGAAAACTTAAACATGACTATAATATAGTAGTTCAGACATGATTATATCTTGTACCTGTAGTATCTGGTTAAGTGCTTTTGCTAGAGCTGGTTTGAGGTCCCCCAGGATGCAATTCCCCACTTTCATAATCAGATGATAGTTCCTCAAAACTCTTAAAGGCCCTGAGATAAGAAATAGCAAATATAAAACACACAGAATATTATAGAATTCCATTCAAAAAGTAGTGTGCCCAACACATGGTAGTATATCATGGCAAAGAAAATTATTTAAAATGATAATAGTGCAAGTACACCTACAAAATGGAAAATATTTCAAACAACCAGAATTATACAGGTCAAATACACCTACATAAATAAAACAGAGGTAATGAACAATATTTCTCAAGACCAATATAAATAAGAGTACTTATCACCACCATTATCCGCATATCGCTCAACCTTGAGCTCATTAAACCATGGGAAAATAATATACTTGATGTACTCAAGGCATGGATTCTTTTCTACCACCTTCGGAGGGCAGAATGCTTTCTTTATCTTCACATTCACTTCAGCCTATCATTGACGGAAGCAAATAAAACTACAAATTCATATGAACATTGCCAAAAAAAACTAAGACTAAGTTTCAGTATTGATCAACACTGAAATGTACAAAATTTTTTTTATCATTCCCTTTCACAGATGAGGTAATACCTCTTCATCCTCTATGTATATGGAAGATGATGGATCACTCTTTGACATCCTTTCTTGACCTTCCTGCAAACCAGGGAGCATATCTGCATGCAAAAGTAAAAAGGAAATAACAGTGAATATTAATTGAAGAAAAATGTCATCTGGTATATAGAGTTAAAAGTCTAGAGAATGCTTACGGTGGGATAGTATTACGGGCTTTTTTTTCTTTTTCTGTCATCACAGTACTCTCTTGCAAGTACATTCACTTTGCGCTGGTCTATGCCCAACTGACAGATGTCGGTCTGTTTGGATAAATCGTATTTGTGAAGTCCAATTCACACTTAGTTAAAACAATTGCATTCAACCAAAATATTTCTCTTTTTGAAGGCTAACAGACAATCACACCATAATGCATACACAAGGATCAAATAAGATATCTTTCCGATGGTCCATTTTAGTAGAAATTCATAAATTAAAATATTAATTGTCCAATTTGCATGAATTGATGGAAAGAAGCCCTATATAAAGTGAGCAGTCTGATTGAGAAAGGTACATACTGCATATATGATACCTAATGAAATGTTATGAGACGTAATATTAATTAGATTCCAACAATACTGAAAGACAATGGTATCGCCACAGTCAAATCAACCAGGAAATTTCAAGTACACTTGAGAAAGACATGCAACATGCTACCGAGAGCCATAGAATTCAATAGACTCTAGAGTTACTCGATGAAGTTCTTTGAAGGAAACAACTCATAATTGTTAAACCATGCAAGATGTATTTCACATGAAGCTTTCACTTGAAAACTGAACCAAGTAGCAAAAGTATTTCAACAATGTTCATTGCTTAAACCAAGAGTCACCTTAGGAAAAAATACATCAGCACACTGCATGCAAGGGTAGAAAACCTGGGCTACTGACAATTCATCTTGCTCAGAGCGACCCATAATTTGACAACACCTAATTAGACCACAAAAGAAGGGGAAAAATGTGATGTCTTATATTTTCAAAGATTGCATATTCAATAAAAAAAACTGTAAATAACTGCATACCTCAATATTCTAGGAAATTTATTCCTCCTAGCAATGTCCAATACAAGAGGCCAGTATTCATGAGCCCTGGTGTTGATCTCTTCGCAAGACCAAAGAAATTCCACTTGACCTCCTTCTAAATTCACCCCTACAACTTTCCAAATCTCAATCAGATACTGTCCTATTACTTGGATTTTCTTCAAGTCACCCCCCATTTTATTATTTAACTGTGCAAATCAATCTGCGATCCAAATTTTAACTTTGCAGCCAGCAGAAGTCAGTTTGTTCACATTAATTGCTTTCATAACTCCCTGCTCAGCATACACAACTGGCCCAATAAGAGATCATTCAAAAGTATGTCTACATAGTTCCGTTCCTATGGAACAACTATAGGATGTCTTCCCATAGTTATTTGGAAAAACCCATCGAAAGTAAGGAATAAAACTTGTAAACACAATATATTCATCTCTCCTATTAAATTGCACTAATAGCTACTTTTATCATATGATTCCATTGAATCACATATGTACCAAATTATATTATTCGAAGTTACAAGATTTAAAAATTAAAACATTATATAAATGAAAATAATAAGACTATTACCACAACAGTTACACGGGATACAATAAACTACAATTTATAAGTTATATGTAAAAGAAGATTATATTTGAATTTAAAAGCAAAATAGAATATCACCCAAGGATCAGCAGCAGGTTAAACTAAGACAAATTGACATATTCGGATAATAATAACCATCACATTTTCCGGCTTTCCAAATGAAAAATTAAAAAATAAAAGCAAAGAACTTTATAAAAAAAAAATAAACGTTCACAAAAACATTAAATCATACATAATTACTCAAAGCTTAATTTGAGTATGATGCAGTTAACTAACAGAATTCACACTGTGCTTGATTCTATAACAAAAAAGTGAAGCTAGCCCATTGGAAAGACTAATCAAATTAACCAAATGACAAATAAAATCACAAATTTTTCAACCAAATATAGAAGAGAAAGAGTAAAGAAACCTAAGCAATGTGCATCCGTCCAGACAGTTCGAACCCATCATAGCAAACGTGCTGTGGCTTGTTAGCTAAGAATCTCTTCAATTCATCCTCTTGTATACACTCTTCACCGACGCTCCTTATTATCTCGAACCTTTCGTCCAAGCTTATCCTATATTACATTCGACAATTCAATATCTATTGTGAACTTCATTTCTAATTAAAAAACAAACATACAACTAAAAAGGATATCCATTTCATGGTTTTCAACAATTCAAAATAAAAATCAACAAAAACGACACAGAGAGGAGAATTACTGGAAGGAAGATTCGGCGGAAATGGAGAGGGATTCCATGGGTGAAAGGGAGGGGTATCGCTGTTGTTCTCCATAGTTGAAACTGAATTTCGTGCAGTTAATGAAAGTGAAGTTTTTAGGGTTTATGACTTGTTTGTGGACCATTTATATCCATTATACGTACGGAAGGTGCTACATAAACAAGGGCTTGGGCCAGGCAGCCCTTGATCTAAATTTCAGATCAAGGGCTGAGGTGCTCATGCCCTGTCACGAGCATGTGTCACATGCCCTTGTTTGATCAGTAAATTCCTACACATAAAATAATTCTTAAATGGAATTATGGATCAATTCGATTTCTTATAATTATTATTGGAATCGAACTCATCACCAAAAACATAAAATTATCCAATTTTAAATGTAACTTGTTCGAATAAGACGAGAGCAATTTAAAGTACAATTAGAAATGACAGAAAATTTTATATAATTATTTAAATAAATAAATAAATTTAATTGGTCAAATTACTTATTTATTAGGTCGGGTCATTGAATAAGGATCAATAAAATTTAAAGAATAAAAAAATGATAAGTTCTAGAGTCGGATATCACAGTTTCGATTCAAAATTTAAGAATTATTTGAAACTCGGTCGACATGATTTTGATTCCTATTTTTATTTAACCGAACCAAAATCTCCGATTTGGATTGTGTGCCCATTTAATATATTTTGCTATGATAAAAAATAATCATTTATAATAAATTAATTGTGGTTTTATTTATTTATTGCAATATTTATTTTATTGAGCATACAAATTAAAGATATTATGATTACTTGAAATAATATAAGTTGAGTACTTGCGTTGATAAGTACAATGTGACACAACTTATATTTTGATAATAAATAATTTGTTCACAATCAATGTATAAGGGTTGGTACCTTGTACTGAAAGGTTGTAGTATTGACCAACTCACTATTTGGGTTTGTTGTTTGTCTTTATCACAGAAATAGTTAATGGTAACACTAGTACACTTGGAGTGTATTGAACGGACTGCGTGTCGAATTTAATTCTATGGCATGACTGTGTGGAGAATTAAATTCCACTAGATTGCTGTGTATTTTATCTAAATTCCTAGACAGGATTATGTATAGCTATTCGTGATTTTAATGGTTCTTTGATTCTTTAATGAGAGAGATTAATTTGATTGGTTAAATATCTTGATGAGTTGGAAACTTGAGTATGAGCGGAGTAGACAACATGAATTCATATCGAGGATCGTCACTCTGGAAAATAGGTAGAGTGATTACTTAAATATTTTCTGTTGAACGGTTTAAATCTGAGCTCAGTATTTAGGGACAGCTAAATTTCGACATCTGTAATTAGTTTTTAGGACAGTTGAAAAAAATGAAACTTAAATTAGTGAGAATAATTAGAGGATCAAATCGATCATTTATGCTCGTACATAATTATCGGATCTCGGACGGGAATAAAATACATATACAACAGGTTCGACGAAAGTATCGCACATTTATTGGCTTTTTGTGATCTTATATATTCCGCTAGACAGGATCTAATTATTGGAACTTGGATAATATATGTCCGATCAGGTCCCTATAGTAGCTCCATGAAGTATTGGAACTTAGTTATGGTAATTATAATAGTTTTAGACTTAATTGTAATTACAATAAAGTTTTGTACTTGATTGTAATTACTACGAAAACTGTAAACTTAATTTAATTGTATTTGAAGTTCTATGACTACACATGTAATTAAATGTAAACTAATTTGATTTGGACTTTAATTATAAAAAAAAAAGAGATAAATAAAAAATATTTTTCTTGATTTTTTAATTGTACAGTTCAAGAATTAGTTTCTCGATTTAATTAAAAGAAGGTATCCACCCACCGATGTAGTCTTGACTTTGGAGAATACCATAGAAGATTTTGAGGTTTAAAGCATCAAATTCTCGGAGTTAAAAAGCTGGAAGTTCGTGATCCAAAAAGTCGAAAGTTCGTGATTTAGAATTAATTCAAGAATTTATCATCGAATTTAGGTAAAAATTCAAATACTTTGTTTCTTTGATATAACATACACCGGAACATCTTGACGATCTTGTTTTTGAATTAAAAAAATTCTGAATGATTTCGCTTCCGCATTCCAACATCCAATCCATATCGAAATGTTCAATTTCGGTTAAAATAGTCCCTCCTACTTTATAACAAACGAGGTGTAAAATTTCATGTTTGGTTGTGCTTGTCTCATACTATGATCAATTGGCTCGACAACGGTCCACCTCTTAACGAGTAAGTTATCGCCTAGCTTTTCCCTGCCCATAATCAATTTGGTTCGGATTGGACCGGATGAAGGGTTCAACAGTCCTGCATAGCTGCGAGAGTTAATTGTTTCAATGGTTACTGAACTTGTCTATGTTTTTGATTGATCACTAAAATTTAAAATCTCGAGTTTTTATCACTAAACTTAGGTCCATGTCTTCGATTATTCATTAAAATTTAAAATGTCAAGTTTTCGCTACTAAACTTTGAAAAATATTGTACATTACTCACTGTAAATTCGATATTTTTCAAAGTTCAGTAGTCAAAACTTAATATTTTTAAACTTCAATAAGCAATCGAAAATATGAACTTAAATTTAATTATCAAAACTTGATATTTTATATTTCAGTGATCAATAAAAGGCATGGACTTAAGTCCAGTGACCAGGAACAATTAACTCTAGACGCGAATCGGTTCTCCATCGCGGTATTCCCACTTACGATACAACAAAGAGCCAAAGCAGTGGAGGATTCAGAATTTAAACACGAAAAGAGCATGGCGGCGCATCTTAGAAACCCGCAAATAATGTTCATCAAATATCCAGTAAGTAGTCCTTTCCTTTTGGTCTAATTTTAAAACCCTAATCGAAGCCTATTCGTAATTCGAAACAATAACCTGCTAGATTTTCAATATCCTCCCTTTAATTTTGTACACTTCTAATTTTCTTCTTATGGTTGAGAATTTTAAATATTGCAACTTATAATAATTAGCATGACCACGATGAAAAAATATGAGTTTTGGGTTATTTGCCCATTGATTACCCAGATTTTTAGCTTCTTGGATATGACAATTTGGTTGCCTCTCTCACCTGAGTGCATATATGCACATAGTATATTTATTTTAAAAATATGAGACTTTTGTATTGTTGTATGGTTTTAGCCAAGAAGGTTGTATTTGCTTTATCTTGGTAAAAAGAGAGAAGAAAAAAATGGTGGGCCAATTTATTTCAATTAAACTTCTTGGAAGATTTTTCAATTAGAATAGGTGGATGGAGCGAGGAAGATGATGGATTATAATAGGTACTGATGATTGGTGTTTTCCAGTATCTAGATATATCTCCTGGAGCAGCCAATTTTTGTGCCAATGTCGAGTGTCTGAGATACGTGAACCCACTGATTTTGCTTTTTTTTTTTTTATTACCACTCCATTATTAGATTGATTTCATTGCCTTCATATAAAATTCCATGTAGACCAAATTGGTTGCTTTCGTATTATAATGACCTTTTAAGTCTTATAACACATAATGTGTCCAAGTATTATCTGCTGCTTGTTGTGCACATGAGATATAATTGGTCAAAATTTTCAAGTGTTGCTTGGAATGTTAATTTGTCATGTTTAACTCTCATTATGCCTCACCGACGACCACCATTTCCGCATGGCACATTCTCTGGTGGAGCTCCAGTAAAGCATGGTTATACCTAGCGAAGATGTGCTGCTACTATGACAGGTGGATGTATGGAAATTCTCAATTAAGCCATGGCCTAAATTAGTTCGTAGCAGTAGACTTCCACTTCTCCTATGGCACCATTTTGAGAAATGAATTTTTTCTTATTTTTCCATGTTTACTGCAGCTTGGACTGTAAATTTGATAGCTGAT